CGTTTTCCAACACAAAGTCAGAAGTAACGATCCATGTATTAATCTCACAGAACTGCCCGGAAAGTTGTAAATTATCCTGAAGCTCAATTATCTACGTGCACATCAACCTGGATGGGGTGGTGGGCTTCGTCATTGCAGGGTAGGACTGCAGAACCAGAACCAAGCCGATGGTCTGCAGAGCCAGTGAATAAAATTTTGCAGTACTGTACAGTACAAATATGCATGTTGTTAAAATTACGTAGGTGCAAGAGTGTGGGAAGGATTTATAAAGCCTTAAAATATATAAATACTAAAATAAATATAACGTTCCTACTTTGCGGTTTTTCACCTATCGCGGTGATGTGTGCAACATAACCCCTGTGATAATTAAGGAACTACTGTATAGCTATTCCTTTATCTATTTATATCTATGTATCTACATATCTCTACAGATCTATATATATAATATTAATTAATTATGACTGAGGTCAACTGATTAAAAAGATCAAATAAATCAGGGCAGTCTATGCGCGGTAGGACTTTTTTTTTTTACCCGAGCACCAAAGACCAAATGAAATGTAAATATTTTAATGTTCCTTTTCATTTTAGAAATAACAATTGTAGCATTCATACAAAATCTACTAGAAGAAGTAAAGTTAGCATATCATCCTGATCAACTTGAACACATAAATCATGCAATCCTTATGAGCACCCTGCACCAACTAGACCCACTGGCAGGGTTCCAAGTCCTGGTCCTGGAGGAACACCATCCTGCATGTTTTAGTTGTTCTGCTCTTCTGGCCTTCAAGTTCTTCAGAAGCCTGTTAATCACTGAATCAAATAAATCAGGTGTTTCAAAGCACATAAACAAAACCATGCAGGATAGGGTTCCTCGAGGACCAGGATTAAGACCCACTGCTCGACAAGTCAAAGAGAAAAGTCCAAACTGGCTGCCACGTCAAGAAAATCTCTAATATTTCACAGCAGATTTTGACCACAACAGGCAGCAAAGATGTTTAGAAGTCATCGGAACATTTCTACATGGCGGTTCAAAGGATTCAGTGTTTATAGTCACGTGCACAACTGGAAAAGGTTTCCTTGAGCAATAAAATTCTTACTTTTCTGTCCACAGTGAACGCCAAGCAACAGACTTTAACTGACTCCAATCAGCTGTTAGAAAATATTTGCATATAGGCAAGAATTCTTTTTAAATAGGTGAAACCTAAAAATCCAAAAGTAAAATGCGCTCAATGTATATAAGGACATAAAATACGGCGGCGAAAAGATGCAATCGAGTGTGCAGTTAGATCATTTTAAGCATGTTTTAGATCAGTCAGTTGTTTAACAGCCTGCGGGAAGGTGAGAAAGATGGATTCATATTCAGTGAGAAATAAAGAAATATGTTTTTGCTTTAGTAGTTGCAAGATGAGAATGACCTCCATTTGTTCTTGCATCAGCTCCGAGAGCACTGTTCTCAACAAGGTCTGTGCAGAACTTTTTTCTCTCTTGGCACGCATCCACTGTTGTGTTATTGCGGGTGTATCATTGAGTTCGTATGACCTGCTGAGGAGCAGCTGGCCGAGGCCGTTAGAAAATACAGCCACTGTTACAGCGAAACTTATAAAAGGTAGACAAGAAGCAAAGAAGTCGTGGAAGGATATAGCACAACCAAGGCTTAACTTGTAAACTGATCGATGGTGGAGAAAATTTTGAATAGATACAATTTCTTGCATTTTGGTGTATTTTAACAGGTTGTTAAACATCTACGTTTACCTACATTTGTAAACACTCCACTTCTGTCAAGCACCCTCTTCCCCCTTACTTGACGTCCCTGCTCGTTGTTGTCAGACTCCACATGTGAAATCTCCAGGCGCCTGCCTGCAGCTGTGAGCTTTTACCCGTGTACGACTGCCTGGTTAGCTCGGCACTCAGCCCCACCACACTTTTAAAGGGGGAGATTTTTTTAAGGGTAGACGCGGAAATGTTACTTGAAGAGGCAGATCATATGATGTTGTGTTTAAAATGAGTGTTTATGTAAATATTATCTACACAAGTTACATTCATTCAAGGCAGTCATATTTGTTCATAACTTTATTATTAGTAAGCCGGAGAGTTACCAGATCCAAGCAAACTGTTACCGGAACGCACCCTGTCAAAATAAGAGAGTTCCCGGATCCTGTTATGGCAGGATCCGGCTCAAATTAAGCCCTGAGCACAACTATCGAGTCTGCTGGAAAATGGTGAGGGTCTTTTTGTGACAAATTTGCTACCAGCTGTGACAAAAAGTAAAAAATAAACGAGTGCTGATATTTATTTTTATTTATTTATTTCATAATGACAATTGCAGCCTTTTTTCTCTCCTTTCTAGAGGGTGAATGACTAGAAGATAAAGTTAGAGAGGCCAGACTGAGATGGTTTGGACATGTTCAGAGGAGGGACAGTGGGTATACTGGTAGAAGGATGTTAGAGATGTAGCTACCAGGAAAAAGACAGAGGAGATATATGGATGCAGTTAGAGAGGACATGGAGGTGGTGGAGGAAGACTCGCTGTGGAGACCCTATTGTTGTCGTTGTTGTCATCATTCTTTGTTAAAATCGTGTCTCTTTTGCCCCGAAGCTCAATGGGATTAACTTGTATAAATAATGGTTGAATGAAAAAATAGGGAACAGTTGAAAGATCTACAGCTGGTACATAAGGACAGCACGCTTCATGTCTCGATGTTTATCCCTGAAAGAACAGCAACACTATAACGCCAGCTATTCTGCCCACAAATCAACTAACCACTTCATCAGATTAGTTAGGTATGTTACAATCCCCTCTAACTGGGACAGGTGGGCTCACGCATTTGGCTCAGTGATCAAAAGTTACACATCGGACATTTTCAGGGTTTCCAGCATTTCATTAACACAAAATTCCCTGACTTTCCCCCTGAGCAAATCCTGATAGTCCAGGAGATATTTCAGTCACACGAAACGCTCAGAGGGACGTTTGACTCTAGCTAAGATCACTTTTTAATCAGCAGATCAGTGTTCGTGTACCCAGAGTTTTCCCTGTCTGGAAAATGTGAAAGTCATTTTCCTGGAGTTCCCTCTGGTGTTTCCAGAGTTGATGGGAGCCCTGATATGGATTTATGAGAAGTAGGAATTCATTATAAACTCTTCTACATTCATGACAATCTGTTGACCCAAACATGGTTTTTGAAGCCCCAGAATCAGGATGATCTGAGCAGGTCATAGGACAAACTTACATGTTTTTCCTTCCTTTTTAAATTGCCAGAACATCTCATTTGTCATTTGTCAACTAATTTGAATAAAATTGACCATTTTCTTTACCATTTTGATCTGAATCCATTAAAGTTGGTTTTAATACAATTAGGAAACTTGTTTTTTTTATTCAAGCTATTGTTCTGGGAAAAAAAAAAAAAAAAAAAAAACAGCTGTTAAAGTTGACACTTTCTGGTCAAACTATGTTGCTGGATTCACACTACACAGGTGCATCCCAAAAAATAGTACAATGAACTGCAGTGTTCTGGTCATCACAGATTTCTAAAAAGTCTGACCTGCTGATTCTGATTTTGGCCGATACCGATTTTGTTTTATAAGCGACACTGTCCGGTGTTATAAGTTCACAACGCCCCTTCAATTTTCTAATATTATGTTACTGAAAAACATACACTTGAACAACATCCTAGAAACAATCCAAACTTGTTTTAACTGGCCATGAGGTGGTGCTCTGAAATATAAATGAAGTTCAGACAATTGTTGTTAAAACTAAAAAAAAATAAAAATCTGTTTCTCGTGCAAGTATCGGCCCATTTACGATTTCCCAAAATTAAGGAAATCGGGGCACCCCTAATTTTAATATCCAACATTTCAGAAAGTGAAACAAGAAAGATGAATTAAACAGAGTGAAATAATTCAAACCTTTATTTCTTGCCATTTTGATGATTATGAATTAAAGCAAGTGTGGCACCCCAGACACGTGTATGTATGTGTATATATATATATATATATATATATATATATATATATATATATATATACACACACACACATGTACATACATGTACGTGTGTGCGCGCTTATATGTGTATGTATGAATGAATAAATAAATAACTATATATACTGTATATAGGGTAATCATGAATGTAGTCAAACCTTGTGCATATTGTCTTTTTCCAAATTTGTATATTCTGCTTGTTTGTTTTTCATTATTTCACATGTAAATATTTTTTCCTCTGTATAATTTGAACATGCTACTGGACGCCTCGAATTTCCCTCTGGGATTAACAAAGTTCGTGTCTATCTATCTAAAGAGAATGGAAAACCAAAACTCAGTGTCTCAGAAATTAAGAATATCCCACAGTCAGCTTTTGGTACCTTTGGCAGTGTGGGCAGGAGCAAAGTCCTGCTGGAAAGTGAAACCAGCATCTCCATGAAACTGGCAGCATGACGTGCTCTAAAATGTCCTGGTAGATGCTGCGTTGACTGGGGACTTGAGAAAATACAGTGGACCAGCACCAGCATGGTACCAAATCCATCACGGTGGAAACTTCACTCTGGACTTCAAGTTCTTGATTTCCAAATGACATGAAAATGTACTTTCATCTGAAAAGAGGACAATGGACCACCAAGCAACAGTCCAGTCCTTTGTCTCCTCAGCAGGTAAGACGCTTTTGATGCAGGAGTGGTCTGAGTTGACGACTGAGACATTTGCAGCTCAATCAGCTGATTAGGATGCGACACCAGTTGTTTACAATATTGAACCTCTTAACAGTTGTAATTTTCTGAGACACTGATTTTTTAAAATTCATAATTTGTACGCCATAATCATCAAAACTACAAGAAATAAAGTCTTTACTCCACTCTGTGTGGAATGAATCTATGTAATGAGTTTCAATTTCTGAAAAGACTGACAAAATATACCTGTAGTGTCGTCACGCATGAAATAAACAAACAGGAGGGGGTAAACAAGGAGGAAGTGGTGTAGAAGTGATGTAAACACACGGCCATGTCCTCACCGTTCGTAGGTGCTTCCTGAGGATGTACATGAAGAAGCCCCATATTCTGGACGTGACGCTGAGGAAAGTGCGGATGCCGAGCAGACACTGGCGGGTCTTCAGCATGTTGATGAGCACCCAAACACCCCCACAGCAAGTTCACTTCTCGGCGAGTTTCTCCTGGGAACACTGGAGGGAGGCTCGGGAGTAGCTGCTGCCTCCGGACTCTGAAGATCCGGTCTTCTTAGCCTCACAGCCGCCAAAAAACGCTAGCAGTCCCAACAGTGAGGAGGCCGAGCTGTGCACGCTCGTGGCACGAATAGCACTACATGAAAACTGATGCGACGAACGCAGAGAAGCGGAAAACGGGAGTCCGGCGAGTGCGCGAGACGTCTGCGGCTGCTTGGACCTCAACACGCAGCTCGTTCAGCCGATAGCCGCGAAGCTACAGCTAGCTCGACAGGCAGGGTGACCACCTTGAACTCCGGGACCGAAATAACCCCCGAAAAAACCGCGCGGAGGTTCGCTGACAGGCCCCGGGTCAACGTGCCATGGGTCCGCGAGGCTTCCCGAGGAGAGGCGCTTCCGCAAAAAGTTCCCCGAAAGTCTAAGCGGACCGGCTGAGGTCGGTTTGTAGTCCACTGGAAGTCCGGAATGAAACCCTGCGAGCCGCCATCGCCGCTTTTTGCCGTCACTTCCGCGAGACGACGACGAGAAGCGAGCGCTGCTCTGCGGTTGCGCGCGGCACGTCCACGTGGAGAGAAAACTAAACGAGCGGGCGAGCGTGACGTAGCAGTCCTTTAAACTGCCATGTTACAATTTTGAGTTCAACACCCAGCAGCTGAACCTTTTGGTTTACTTGTAACTTTTGTTTGTAACAATCTGTTCTCCAGATAAGAGCGCTCCAGTTGGCGTCGACACACCTGATTTTATCACCGTGATTTAAAGTTATAAAGCAGTAAAATATGTAAAACAGCACACATATTTAGTTTGGCGCTCATTTTCATTCATTCAACCTTTATTTACATTTACAGAATCACTGCGTGGGTTGTTTATGGCAAAACCAAATCGACTGCGACCGTGCAGCTTTTAGTTCCATGTGTGGAAGCCCGTTTCTGCCAATAAAATAAATAAAACGTCCAATGGTATCATTATGAGATAAAGTCATAATTTCGGAAATGGGCTTCCAAAACATCAGGAAAGTCAAAACATTCATTCAATCATTCAACCTTTGGGAATTTATCTCATAATTATGACTTTAAAAGTCAAAAATATGACTTTGAAAGTTGAAATTATGACTTATCTCAAAAATATGACTTTGAAAGTTGAAATTATGACTTGTATCTCATAATTATGACTTTAAAAGTCAAAATTATGACTGTATCTCATAATTATGACTTTAAAAGTAAAAATTATGACTTTGAAAGTCAAAATTATGGCTTGTATCTCATAATTATGACTTTGAGAGTTGAAATTTTGACTTTGTATCTCATAATTATGA